GCATGGCTCAACAGCAGCATGTCTGACTAATATTTACAGATGGTTGATTTATGTTACAATGAAAATTTTTTTTTAAATTAATGAAATTATAATACAAAATAATTGTAAATTACATGGGTTTATACATTTTGTCTATTTATTTTCCATTAAAAATATGTTTTTTTCTTTTTTGTAAATTTATTTTTGATATGTTAAAATACATTAGCAAGTTAAAATTATAACATTTATGTCACATCTGTTCAATTTGTTGTAAAAACTATGCAGTAAGATTTAAACTATGCATTTGAAATCTTTTAATGTACTTTTTAAAAATTGTAATTAGAATTTCATATATGCTACAATCAATTGCAGTCTTGTCTGGTAGAAGCTTGAAAAAAACAATTCCCTTAAAATCCCACTGAACAGAGAGCATCACTTTTTTTTTTTTTATGACTATCGGCTTTTGAAGTGCTTTGAGCCAGCTCATCTCTTCTACTCCATGATCGCTTGTGTTTAACTCTGTTATAAACAATCCATTTTTCATCACTAGTTATGATTCATTTCAAAAATGGATCATTTTCTTGACTTTTGAGAAGCAAATCACAGATGTTGATGCAACAGAGCAAATCTCTTTCTTTAAGAACATGTGGAACCCATATATAAAGCTTTGAAACAAAACCAAGTCATTTGAAGTGATCATAAATGGTTGAATTCGACAAATTTAATCTCTTAGTGATTTCTTGTGTTGTTATTTGGCAGTTTGCTTCAATCAATACCTTTATTTTGTCTCCATCAGCTTCAATTGGTCTTCCAGAAAGTGGTGCATCTTCAATATTGAAATTGCAGGAACAAAATTTTGCGAACCAGTTTTGGCATTGTTGTTCTGTCAATACATCTTCTACATATACATTGCACAATTTTTTTTTTGCTTGAGCAACATTCTTATCTTTTTGGTAATAAAAAAAGTAAAAGATGCCAAAAATGCTGCTTTTGATTTTCCATATTTGATGGGACACCAAAAAAACAACTGCAAAGAATCAAACAAAATTTTTTACAAATAAGCCTTGAAATGTCAGCTATCAAAATATATAATGTCAGTACAATGTACAATGAAATTGGTGGGTAAAAATACAACTAATACCTCTGCTGGTAAAAAACAAAATTACTTTCTGAACAACCCAATAATAATTATAAGAAAAAAGTTTTTAAAAATTTTTCAGTACTTAACAAATGCATCTATTGTCCCTAATTCTTACAGAATATTTCAGTAATAGAAGTACTACAAATATTTCTTCAGGAGGTAGTATCATTCTGCAGCCCATTAATATTTTAACATGACCCATAGTTTGAGAAATGCTGGTTTAGACCTCAAACAAGGTATTCCAATGAACAATGGGTATCCATAAAATAAAGAATGTTTGTGCATAGCACTCTGTAGAGGTAAATTACTGCCATTGATTCAAGGTCAATTTGTTCTCTGATGTGTTAGCATAATATGTGTAAAGTTTCAATAAATACAGGCTTATTGTTATCGTTTTGTCAAGGGTTAAAATGTGTACAAAAATTGAAAATCCCACCAAGTGCAAAGTGTTATTCATTTTCTAAATGCAAAGAAAGATCTGTTCTATAGAAATTCATAAACAAATCACAGTAGTGTATGGCAATCACATTATGAATGAAGCAAGTGTGAGAAAATGGTATTTAATGTTTAATCATGCAAGGTAACTTGGCAACCACACTAGATTGTGAATAATTTGTTGGAAAAGTAATTTGAATAAAATTGTGTAGAAATTATAATATTTTTTAATGTATATGAAAATCTTACAATCTAATTATATTATAAAAATTGCAAACAAGTCAAATTCATGTTTTTACTTTCCAACATTAGCTATATTATGACACAGAATTCATTATAACTAAGAACTATAAAATTTTATCAAGATTCTAAATTTTAAAATAATTTAAAGTTTCTAATTTAACAGATTTTTTTAAAAAGAAAAGTTAAATTTACATATGGACATCATCTCTGTTTAAAGATATAATATTTTAAAAAAAATTACCTATGCAAAACTATACATTACTAAAATTAAGATTTAAAACTATTACCATTCAAGATTAATTTAAATTCTCCTCACAACATTAACCTTCTGTTTTTTTTTTTTTTTAATGAATTGTTAAATTAGAAAATGTTAATTTTAAATTTTTAAAAATGTTTCATATTATATTTTTAGACTCCTGAAGAATGGGATGATATAGATGAGAAGAAAGGATTACAGAAGAAAAGCCCTATGTCAGCTTCAGATCAATTAGAAGTGAAGGTTAGTTATATTTATGTTTACTGTATTTATCAAATAATACTAAAATTTTTTCTTCTTCTCCTCCTCTTCCCTCTTTTTTGAAATATTATTGTACAGTAGAACCCCTATAACACGGTAGATACGTTCTGCTTTATAAGAATTTCACATTGTAGGAATCCTTAAATACATGAGCCAATCACAGCCCGACACGTGTGAAGTTTACAGACTATGGCTGTTTGAAAGGTTTTTTTCCATAAAATTAATCGATTCTAGACTAATTTGACTCAATATTTCCAAAAAATTGTAGGATTATTTACCGAGTGTGCACTGTTTGACGTCGCCATTGCTTAAGCTTGTTTTTGTCGCGGAGCAGCGCACCAATCGGCAACCATGATTTCTGATAAGTTATTTTTCTGCGAAAAATTTGCTGAACTTTTTTTTCTGCGAAAAATTTGCTGGACATCATTAATATAAATAATTTTTATGGCCGTTGAATAAGAAATGTTTCTTTCACAAGAAATGTATAAAATTACAGTGCTGTATTAGACTTACGGTACCTAATTTACATACTGTACAGATGATAGTAAACTCAACTTACTCGCGTGTAAGTAGTTTGGCTGCTCGTCTACTATTGGTCCAGATTTGACCAATCTTGTTGCGACACGAGTCGGCGATGATGTTTCATTGTGTTTTACGCATCCCTTTTAGCGTCTTTATACGAATACTGTCACAATTTTTTCACCGCATTATAGGAACCCGCGTTATAGGGGGTCTACTGTAATTATAAAGCCAAAAATTTGAGAATAATTTTTTTATAAACCCAAAGTAAACTACTACCCAATATATTCATATTGCCAAATGATCTATCAGTTTACCTGTCAGAACTATATTAAGGCTATATCAGACCAATTCTTTTTCCAGAATATTCTAAATTTAATTCTAATGGTTAAATTTATCAAGAGATGACAGCCTAACTACCTATCTCTAGCCAAATTGATTTGTATCTAATTAGTTCTTAGCCTTAGCTTGAAACATAATCCAGCAGATCATTTGGCAAAATAAACCCAAAACATAAAAAATCTATGTTGCATTTTTTTTCATTAATAATTTATACAAAATCTTGTGAAAATATAAGATAGAGATTTCTAAATATAAAATAAAATAAAAAACTCTTCAAACCTTTAACTGGAGTGCTTCTATTTTTAGAATTGCAGAATTGCGAACGTTTTCGTCGCCCCTCCTGGGCACTTCTTCAGGCTATAACGAATGGGCCTTTAATATTCAAATAAACATTCGATATGAATCTCTTCCGAATTCTATCATTTAAAATCGTTCCGAAGTTGTGTTGCGCATGTTCCATATTCATCCTTTTAAACGCTGTTATCTATCAAAATCTCTTCCGAATTCTATCTTTGTATTGCACATGCTCCATACTCATCTCTTTAAACGCTGTTATCTAGCAAAATCTTCCATGCTATCGATAGGGCCATTTCCTCTTTATAAATAATACACATACTTACATCTGCATACCGAAAACCTAGCACCTTCCCAACATATATTCCAAAAAGTTCGTGCGACCCTATCTCATACAAAATTGCCGCTTTCAGAGCATTAGTGAGAAGAGCACACACACACACACACTCCTCAACGCAACAAGCTCTAACAACAGAGCTCCAACATATAGGGGATATTGCTGTAGCTCAAGGATACAACAACACTCTAGTCAAAAATTTATCTAAAAGGTATGACGTTTACCAAAAAGCCATTGATCAGGCAGGGCCACCGTTGAATATACCTGATCAAGAAAAAGAGAGGATACCTATAACATATAATCCGATACTGAAATCAGTCTACAACATGTAAAGCCAAAGAAGAGACATAAATATAGCATACAGAAGGTGTCAAACTGTCTTCAGGATACTAGCTAATGGCAAAGACCGNTAACAAGAAAAATATTTTAATAAAATTAAATATATATCAAATATTTTTATGGAATTTTTTAACTCCTATCAACTCTATGAAACTTATAAACCATACCAGTAGGACAGTAGGTGCTCATGTGTTGGGTTAGGTTATGAATTTACTTTCAATCAGTATTGATAGGAGTAGCCAAATATATGTAGCTTGCAGATGGCTAACAGTCCAAAACTGGCCCTGCACATTTCATAGCCATTGATATATGTAACATTCCATTTTACAATCTTATTCTTTTTTTTTTTTAATATTACCTGAAGAAAGCCATTTAACATCACTGAAAATGTTAGTAAAGTTGTTATTGCTGGATATTTAAGTGTGAAAACATTTATTTCTTAATTCACATTTAGTTTATTCTGAATTTAGATCATAGTTTATATAGATCATATGTTTATTCTCAAGAATATTAAGAAATTTTATACTCAAGCATCCTCTATGTACTTTTTATATAATGATTGATTTATGACTAAATGGACTTAGGACTATCTGGCAGAACATAATCAAGTTGTAAGTTGAGTTGATGTACATCTCCATAAATTATATACACTGTTTGTGTATTTTATTTATCAAAAATATTCTAGTTAAATAATCTATTTATTGATTTCAGTATTAAAAATTTTAAATTTCTGCCTAAAGTAAGGTGTTTGTGAATACATTTAGTAATTATAGTTAACTTAAAAATAATAGACCATAAACACAAATTATACTTATTTTAAGATTTATATTTTTTAAATTTTATTTTTATCTTAGTGGAAAAAGCCAAAACTCTTAACTTGAAACCAGTAAATTCATCACCATACATTCGAAGAACTGCATCATTAGATGCTATTTATTTAGCTGGTCAGTGGCAGCAAGATGCCTTTTATTTCAGTCATTGTGGTAGATTGATGATGGACCGAGCTACACAGGTAATTTAAAATTTTCTTTAAGTAAAGTGAAGATTACTTTAATAATAATAAATAATAATTATATCTGTTCTCTTCCCAGAAATTTTTAATATCTGTGGGACAAGTATTATAAAAGTTTTTGTTGCATGGTATTTGGAAATACAATCACACACTTTCTCTTTTTTAAAACAAATATTTGTTTCTGGAGTCTGATCTATTATTTTGTGATTATCTTTTTTGTAGGTCTTTTTCAGTCTTCTTATGCACTTTGGCAATTTGTATTCTGTAATTCTTTCACATGATCATACTATATTAACTATCTTATTTTTATTTCATCAATAATTAATTTCTTTAAGCTGTGTCATAACTAGGCAGATACAATGTGTGCACAGGCACATACCCAGTATAAAGGAGGCCTTGAAATGGAGTACCAAAAAATGATGTTTATTATATTTTCATTTTTAAATTTTAAATTTTGTTGCCACGAGGGTCAATTTCATAATGTTTTTAGTTTAAAGGTAAAAATTAATCAACATTTCTATTGTATTTCTTTTCCCTCCTTAAAAGGTGGTAAAAATAGTCTTGAACAGGACATGTGAAAAATTAGTTATCATACTGCCTTTATGTTCAGCTTTTTTTCCATGCATAATATTCGATATGATCTCATTAGTGCATTCATTTTAACTCATTCTTTTTTTTTTTTTTCATGTTTTGCCTCAATAAAATACAGTAATATAATTTTCACTATGATTATATATTTCTTTCTTCTTTTGCATTTCATCATATTCCATTCAGATTTTTTTTTTGTTTTTACTATTTTTTGTTTTGCTACAATGTTTTTTTAAATCTCCCATCTTGATTTAATTTCACTCCCGTGTATTTGTAATGATGACATAGTGAATAATGTTCTGCACCCTTATGTAATGTAATACTGTACAACATTGCATTCTCTGTATAATAATGCATTTCACTATAACACAATTGGAGAATTGCAGCAATCCTCAGGCAGCAAGGTACTTAAATAACATAGTTTTATTCTAATGTGTTTGGAGAATTGTGGCAAGCATTGTATAACACAGTAGTTTTAAATTTTTATGGGAAAGCAGCTATGCAAAATAAAATTATTATAAAATCCTCACATATTTTATTATATTTTGGAAATAATATCTTCTGTGCTATTGAACTTAGGGCTTATTTGAGACTGTTAAAAAAGTATAACTTTGAAGGGTGCAGCTTGTGACATTTAAGGCTATTTCAGATTTTATTTGATCATTTTAAAATTTTACTGGATGTGTATTATATGTAAATTAACTTTGGAATTATATTAGATTGATGAATGCTTCTTTTGTATTCTTTGAAAAACTGAATGAAGAAAGAAATTCTCAAATTCAAGAATTTCTTCCTTCATACAGTTTAGCAGAGAATATATTAGCTTGATTTCATTATTGGAATTAAATTCCAACTCTAAAATATGGCTAATGAAAGTAAAAAAGCATCACTCAAAAAATATAAGTTATGAATTAAAAACTACAATAGAGATTCTATATAATTCTAATCAGATAAACAAATATTTGTAAATAAATACAATGAAACCTATTTAGTATTAATTTAGTAAAAGTATTCATTTTCAAAGAATTTCAAAATTTGAATCAAATATTATGTAAAATTTAAACATTCAATAGATGAAAAAGAACTGGTATCCAACTGTAATTTACATTATAAAAATGAATGAAAATTAGTACAGTAGAACCTCGAAAACTCGGCCTAATGTGGACCGAAGGGTGGCCGAGTTTGTGAAAGTGCCGGGTTATCGGGAATGGGGTTAAAAAAGGATCAGTATGCGTGTTTCCTCAGAAAATACTGTACTGTACTTGTATGTATTGTTTGCTTGAGAATACAACAGAGAATAAACTGCCCAAATACCCTTAAACAAAGGAAAAGTACGTACTTTATGAAGGCATAGAGCCTTTACTATATGAAAATGAAAATTAATGAATACACTGTGTACAGTAATTTACCTGATAAGACAGACCTCAGAAAAATACTTTATGAGTGCTTTTATACTTTTATAAAGCTGTCTATAATGAAAATTAATTAACTAAGGATTTTTTTGCCCTGCCAGGGTGTGGCCGAGTTATCCGGAGTGCCGGGTTATCGAGAGCCGAGTTTTCGAGGTTCTACTGTACCATATTTAAATAAAAGAAAACTCACACTGCTTATTAAGGAAGCTAGGCCAGTTATTGGAAATGTTCTCAGCTTACCACATCCAATTAAATGAAAAGTATAACTGTGGTGGATCAGACTTGAGATCTTATCATAGAAGTACTCTTCACTTTAGTTCATTGTACTTAGCTGAAGCTGGCCAAACAATAGGCCAAAAATGTTTGTAATAAACTTTTCTTTTTTTCCTTAACAAGTATGGTTTCTTTTATCAAAACATTAGAAACAATTGCTGCATGTTTTGATAAAGCATCTCAAGCTTTCATCAAAATGAGTGCAGATCTGGATTTCTAATTTGAATCAACCTATGTGAATGATAAAAATAAACACATAGATTACTTATAAGGGGAGTTACAATGTGGTTCTCAGATTTCAATAATAATTTCTGTGTGAATAAGCCTTGATATTGATATGTATTATACCTGTATTGAGAAAAGGGAGAAAGCATGCTTCTCAAGTAGTTTCAAGAACAAAATTTTAAAAAATTCTATGTGGCATATGAGTAAGTTTTGTGAAACATTTCTCCAATGACTGCATGGCTCAACAGCAGCATGTCTGACTAATATTTACAGATGGTTGATTTATGTTACAATGAAAATTTTTTTTTAAATTAATGAAATTATAATACAAAATAATTGTAAATTACATGGGTTTATACATTTTGTCTATTTATTTTCCATTAAAAATATGTTTTTTTCTTTTTTGTAAATTTATTTTTGATATGTTAAAATACATTAGCAAGTTAAAATTATAACATTTATGTCACATCTGTTCAATTTGTTGTAAAAACTATGCAGTAAGATTTAAACTATGCATTTGAAATCTTTTAATGTACTTTTTAAAAATTGTAATTAGAATTTCATATATGCTGCAATCAATTGCAGTCTTGTCTGGTAGAAGCTTGAAAAAAACAATTCCCTTAAAATCCCACTGAACAGAGAGCATCACTTTTTTTTTTTTTATGACTATCGGCTTTTGAAGTGCTTTGAGCCAGCTCATCTCTTCTACTCCATGATCGCTTGTGTTTAACTCTGTTATAAACAATCCATTTTTCATCACTAGTTATGATTCATTTCAAAAATGGATCATTTTCTTGACTTTTGAGAAGCAAATCACAGATGTTGATGCAACAGAGCAAATCTCTTTCTTTAAGAACATGTGGAACCCATATATAAAGCTTTGAAACAAAACCAAGTCATTTGAAGTGATCATAAATGGTTGAATTCGACAAATTTAATCTCTTAGTGATTTCTTGTGTTGTTATTTGGCAGTTTGCTTCAATCAATACCTTTATTTTGTCTCCATCAGCTTCAATTGGCCTTCCAGAAAGTGGTGCATCTTCAATATTGAAATTGCAGGAACAAAATTTTGCGAACCAGTTTTGGCATTGTTGTTCTGTCAATACATCTTCTACATATACATTGCACAATTTTTTTTTGCTTGAACAACATTCTTATCTTTTTGGTAATAAAAAAAGTAAAAGATGCCAAAAATGCTGCTTTTGATTTTCCATATTTGATGGGACACCAAAAAAACAACTGCAAAGAATCAAACAAAATTTTTTACAAATAAGCCTTGAAATGTCAGCTATCAAAATATATAATGTCAGTACAATGTACAATGAAATTGGTGGGTAAAAATACAACTAATACCTCTGCTGGTAAAAAACAAAATTACTTTCTGAACAACCCAATAATAATTATAAGAAAAAAGTTTTTAAAAATTTTTCAGTACTTAACAAATGCATCTATTGTCCCTAATTCTTACAGAATATTTCAGTAATAGAAGTACTACAAATATTTCTTCAGGAGGTAGTATCATTCTGCAGCCCATTAATATTTTAACATGACCCATAGTTTGAGAAATGCTGGTTTAGACCTCAAACAAGGTATTCCAATGAACAATGGGTATCCATAAAATAAAGAATGTTTGTGCATAGCACTCTGTAGAGGTAAATTACTGCCATTGATTCAAGGTCAATTTGTTCTCTGATGTGTTAGCATAATATGTGTAAAGTTTCAATAAATACAGGCTTATTGTTATCGTTTTGTCAAGGGTTAAAATGTGTACAAAAATTGAAAATCCCACCAAGTGCAAAGTGTTATTCATTTTCTAAATGCAAAGAAAGATCTGTTCTATAGAAATTCATAAACAAATCACAGTAGTGTATGGCAATCACATTATGAATGAAGCAAGTGTGAGAAAATGGTATTTAATGTTTAATCATGCAAGGTAACTTGGCAACCACACTAGATTGTGAATAATTTGTTGGAAAAGTAATTTGAATAAAATTGTGTAGAAATTATAATATTTTTTAATGTATATGAAAATCTTACAATCTAATTATATTATAAAAATTGCAAACAAGTCAAATTCATGTTTTTACTTTCCAACATTAGCTATATTATGACACAGAATTCATTATAACTAAGAACTATAAAATTTTATCAAGATTCTAAATTTTAAAATAATTTAAAGTTTCTAATTTAACAGATTTTTTTAAAAAGAAAAGTTAAATTTACATATGGACATCATCTCTGTTTAAAGATATAATATTTTAAAAAAAATTACCTATGCAAAACTATACATTACTAAAATTAAGATTTAAAACTATTACCATTCAAGATTAATTTAAATTCTCCTCACAACATTAACCTTCTGTTTTTTTTTTTTTTAATGAATTGTTAAATTAGAAAATGTTAATTTTAAATTTTTAAAAATGTTTCATATTATATTTTTAGACTCCTGAAGAATGGGATGATATAGATGAGAAGAAAGGATTACAGAAGAAAAGCCCTATGTCAGCTTCAGATCAATTAGAAGTGAAGGTTAGTTATATTTATGTTTACTGTATATATCAAATAATACTAAAATTTTTTCTTCTTCTCCTCCTCTTCCCTCTTTTTTGAAATATTATTGTACAGTAGAACCCCTATAACACGGTAGATACGTTCTGCTTTATAAGAATTTCACATTGTAGGAATCCTTAAATACATGAGCCAATCACAGCCCGACACGTGTGAAGTTTACAGACTATGGCTGTTTGAAAGGTTTTTTTCCATAAAATTAATCGATTCTAGACTAATTTGACTCAATATTTCCAAAAAATTGTAGGATTATTTACCGAGTGTGCACTGTTTGACGTCGCCATTGCTTAAGCTTGTTTTTGTCGCGGAGCAGCGCACCAATCGGCAACCATGATTTCTGATAAGTTATTTTTCTGCGAAAAATTTGCTGAACTTTTTTTTCTGCGAAAAATTTGCTGGACATCATTAATATAAATAATTTTTATGGCCGTTGAATAAGAAATGTTTCTTTCACAAGAAATGTATAAAATTACAGTGCTGTATTAGACTTACGGTACCTAATTTACATACTGTACAGATGATAGTAAACTCAACTTACTCGCGTGTAAGTAGTTTGGCTGCTCGTCTACTATTGGTCCAGATTTGACCAATCTTGTTGCGACACGAGTCGGCGATGATGTTTCATTGTGTTTTACGCATCCCTTTTAGCGTCTTTATACGAATACTGTCACAATTTTTTCACCGCATTATAGGAACCCGCGTTATAGGGGGTCTACTGTAATTATAAAGCCAAAAATTTGAGAATAATTTTTTTATAAACCCAAAGTAAACTACTACCCAATATATTCATATTGCCAAATGATCTATCAGTTTACCTGTCAGAACTATATTAAGGCTATATCAGACCAATTCTTTTTCCAGAATATTCTAAATTTAATTCTAATGGTTAAATTTATCAAGAGATGACAGCCTAACTACCTATCTCTAGCCAAATTGATTTGTATCTAATTAGTTCTTAGCCTTAGCTTGAAACATAATCCAGCAGATCATTTGGCAAAATAAACCCAAAACATAAAAAATCTATGTTGCATTTTTTTTCATTAATAATTTATACAAAATCTTGTGAAAATATAAGATAGAGATTTCTAAATATAAAATAAAATAAAAAACTCTTCAAACCTTTAACTGGAGTGCTTCTATTTTTAGAATTGCAGAATTGCGAACGTTTTCGTCGCCCCTCCTGGGCACTTCTTCAGGCTATAACGAATGGGCCTTTAATATTCAAATAAACATTCGATATGAATCTCTTCCGAATTCTATCATTTAAAATCGTTCCGAAGTTGTGTTGCGCATGTTCCATATTCATCCTTTTAAACGCTGTTATCTATCAAAATCTCTTCCGAATTCTATCTTTGTATTGCGCATGCTCCATACTCATCTCTTTAAACGCTGTTATCTAGCAAAATCTTCCATGCTATCGATAGGGCCATTTCCTCTTTATAATTAATACACATGCCGCTTCTTCCCGCCTTAAATATCTCCATGGCCTCTAGCCATTTTAGTTGTTGAGGGTTAGAGTTGGTTTTAATGATTTTTGCCACACACAGGTCCGCCGTTATTTCCTGTTCCGAAGCATATGTTGCCAGGGCTGTTGTGTATCTACCTTGCTGTATATCTGACTCATGTTCTTTTAACCTCACTTTTAATGAACGCTTCGTGGAACCAATATATGTCATTTGTCTATCATATCTTTTGTCTTCTAGCGGTACTGCGTATACTCCTGGGAGTCTTTCAGGGTTAGGCCGGTCTTTGCCATTAGCTAGTATCCTGAAGACAGTTTGACACCTTCTGTATGCTATATTTATGTCTCTTCTTTGGCCTAACATGTTGTAGACTGATTTCAGTATCGGATTATATGTTATAGGTATCCTCTCTTTTTCTTGATCAGGTATATTCAACGGTGGCCCTGCCTGATCAATGGCTTTTTGGTAAACGTCATACCTTTTAGATAAATTTTTGACTAGAGTGTTGTTGTATCCTTGAGCTACAGCAATATCCCCTATATGTTGGAGCTCTGTTGTTAGAGCTTGTTGCGTTGAGGAGTGTGTGTGTGTGTGTGCTCTTCTCACTAATGCTCTGAAAGCGGCAATTTTGTATGAGATAGGGTCGCACGAACTTTTTGGAATATATGTTGGGAAGGTGCTAGGTTTTCGGTATGCAGATGTAAGTATGTGTATTATTTATAAAGAGGAAATGGCCCTATCGATAGCATGGAAGATTTTGCTAGATAACAGCGTTTAAAGAGATGAGTATGGAGCATGTGCAATACAAAGATAGAATTCGGAAGAGATTTTGATAGATAACAGCTTTTAAAAGGATGAATATGGAACATGCGCAACACAACTTCGGAACGATTTTAAATGATAGAATTCGGAAGAGATTCATATCGAATGTTTATTTGAATATTAAAGGCCCATTCGTTACAGCCTGAAGAAGTGCCCAGGAGGGGCGACGAAAACGTTCGTAATTCTGCAATTCTAAAAATAGAAGCACTCCAGTTAAAGGTTTGAAGAGTTTTTTATTTTATTTAATTTAAACACCGGTGTGTAGAGAGATTGTATTTCTAAATATTTATATTTGAAAATTGTGATCTTATTATTATCCCAATTTTCTATTTCTTTTTTATCCAATAAGAATAGTTGCAAGATGAAAAAGTTATAGACAGCTCCCTTTGATAGTAAGTGCACTGTCTGTTGGAAGAAAAGACCTATTTTAATATGAAAAATTGCACATTCTATTCAGCATTGTCACTCTTATCATATGTTGAAATAAAATATGAGATACACACAAAAAAAATAAACACTACACTTATCAAGGAGTTCATTTTTATTAAAGATGAAATGTTTTTTGAGACTATCTGTCTTAGTTTTCAGTTTTTTAAATCAAACATCAGAACATGCCAGTATCCTAAACCATTGTTTATCCTAGAGTGGAGGATACATTCAAATTTGAAGATCTTACAAATATTCATAAATCATTCAAAATGGTAAATTAAATTAAAACACAAAAAAACTGTTAAAAGTCCTTTAGATAACAACAACAACCACCTGAAGTTTAACTGTAATCCTGCTACTAATACTAAAATAGAGACCACATTAGTTTTTGATGGACAGGAAATAAACTTATGCACAGTACATACAGTAAAAATAAACAACTAATGTAATAAAATATAACAAAAATGTAGAAAAATGATACTACATCATAAATGAGAACTTATTCTATCTGCCTGATTTTTCTTCTTCTTTACAAGAACAACCAGACCCAGAGGTCTAGGTCAGCATTTTTTATTTGAATATTCAGAAGGAATTCAGTCAAGGTACTATGACTGACTCCTCGGTGATTCTTATTGGTAAGTTCTTTGTCTCAAGAACAATCACCTTAGCTTAATGCCATCTAGATGTATTGAACATGTGAACCATTACCTCCTCCACCAATGATGCCTTTACATTACCCTGTTTTTGGATCAACCCTGTACTTGCCTATGCTAGTTCTCAAAGTGTGAAAAGTACTGCCTTATGTATCACCTCTTATGCAAATGCCTGATATTCAGTTATGGCAACTGGAATCTTGTACACTACATATCTTTGGGTCATTGTTCTCCTCATTTTTAACTAAGTCATGTATTGACAATGGGCAAATAGTGAGTATACAAATCTGATTACATTTGAGGTGATTATGCAACATTCTTGATAGAATTAAGACCTGTTATTCATATTGAAATTTTTATCTGAGTTGCATATTCTTGTATATCACATGTGTTAGGTCAGGTTTAAGCTCCTTTAATCTGAATTGCATATTCTTACATATATCACATTCTCCAAATTAGTAAATAGTTTAGGAGGCTATCCAAAGAAACAGACCACTTCCTTAAGGTAATGAATCTCGTTAGATAGGACCTCACTGAAGGAAAACTAAATAAAAGCCAACAGATCAAAAAACAGAGCACAGCAATCTTGTATCTAAACAGGTTCCAAGAATGGAAATGTATATAGGACAGGATGGACAGCAGCCAGCTTCCTATACACTACCATCTTAACTTGATTATCTTCAACTATGATACAAATATTCAAAAAGTGAACTGAGCTCCTGAGCTTACTCTACCTCAAGTGTATGAGTGTATGTCAATCTTGTTTTGATTGATTGATTTCATAAATGCTTTATACATTTCCGTGCCCTTTCATATAATAAGTATATCATCAATGTACTGTACATGGCTGTAATGTAATTGCTCTAGGTTTTAAAACTGGTCTTGACAAATGTCAAACATAACTCTGCTAATTCACTAGCCACCAGGGACCCAATTTGAGCCCCTCTTGTTTGGGAGGAAAATTTTCAATTCAAATGTAAAATAGTTATATGACTATATGCACATAATCTGATATGCTCCTATCCCATTTATCTTTCATTGAATTGTATGGCTTAAATAGCCTCCAGTTTGAGCAAGGGAAACAAATTCTTTTTCTTTGTTGAGTTGTTTTATTGTACTCAAAAGAAAGTTGTCTTTAAAGCTAAATAGTTTGGTCAGATATGATTATTTTATTTTTGTTTTTTATGCAATATTGTCGCACAGTATTTGATATCAGTGTAACCAAGACATAGAATGTCATCTCTCAGTAGGGAGTGAGGATATCACCTTGTCCTATAAACATGTAGCATTTTATAATGATTTTCATAATATTACATAAATAAAACATTAGCTGAATCAATGCACAATTAAAAATGAACTACAAAAGTAGAAAATGTAAGTAAATAAGCATTAAATGAAAGTACTTTCATAATAAATATCGTATTTTTGCAGAATGATTAGCATGCTGCATATAACTGGGGGAGATTAGCATGCCAGCAATCCATGGGTTTTTGGCTTGCCAGTTAAACTGCAACTAAAAGATAAAATTAATCAGATCAAACGAAACTAGTTGTTAATTAAATGTTAAAGAAAACATTCTTTTGAGTACAATAAAATAACAACATTGTAATTTGACTGACTTAAAATCAGGAAGATAGTTTTCCTTTACAATGTAATAAAACAATTAATGGCTTATTATTATTATTATTATTATTATTATTATTATTATTAGTAGTAGTAGTAGTAGTAGTAGTAGTAGTAGTAGTAGTAGTAGTAGTAGTAGTAGTAGTAGTAGTTAGTCAGTCAGTGTGGGCTGCATTGACCATCTACCCTGACCTTAAAAAATAACACCTTCTCAAATTTCACTCAGAGTGAATGTTAATAGGTGTAAGTAGAGATAATTTACAGCAGTTTCTGAAATTTAATATGTTTATTTTTGCACTTTTGAATCAAGTTACAATAAAATAAACATAAAAAAGCATTTTTTTAATCTACATTTACCAGCTCTCATTTCTACATAGATAAAAAGCCAAAACAACCCCAAGAAGGTATGATGGAAACTAGAAGAAGTCCATATATCACCTTCCTTTTTAAAAATTTCTTTTTAAAAATTTGTATTTTTAACTGGATGTATTTTTGTGTTTTTGAAAGGACTTTTTAGCCGCCAGTAGCCTAAAATAGAAGGTCAGTCGCCAAGAATGTAGTCTGGAATATGAAGATAATAAATGGTGGTTCCTTTTTTTGGAAGGACTTTGTCTTCAGATATTTAAATAAAACAAGCACTTTTGGCATTCCACAAGTATTTTACATCATTAGAAAGCAGACAAAATGAAGAAATTAAACATATAATTGTAGTTCTTGATGTAATGCTGACAGTTTCACAGTTTTAGAATAAAAGTCATTTATTTTTATATGATGTAACTCATTTGTTTTTTTAATGCACCCTCTGGAGAGAGATGTATAACTTAATTTAAACCAGCCTTCCCCAGATAGACCGGCATGCCAGACAATCCATGAAAATACAATATATTCAGAAAGAAGAAAGAACATTATGTATAAACTGAAATCATTTACTTTGGAAATTGAAAAAATATATTGGTTGGATTTAGGAAGAGTGCACATAGAAGATGAATACCAAAATTCTCACTTTTTGTTTTAATCTGTATTGTGTGTCTAAATCAGTGTACTGCAATAATAGCACAATAATAATACAGTAGAGTGTCGATTTTCCGAAAGTCAATCATTGAAAGAATTCCAGTCGGCAAATTTAAATTTTCGCCAGTGCTGTGGCGCTTCAATCTTTGGCTATGTCTTGGGTTACTCAAATATTTTACGTTTTTGATACTAAATTAACATCTGAAGTATAATTTTTTATTATTTTTATATTTTTAAATATATTTATTTTGTTTGTACAAAATAAAAAAATAATTTTTAACGATACAATAGTCTT